CCACGTCACCTTAAAAAATAAATATAACGACGACTCCGTTGAGTTTTCCGGAGTGGGCGGAGAAACAAAAACACACCTCCGACCTTACCGGTAATTCACAGCCGGGGAAATGTTCCTCTCACGAGCCATTCGACATTAACCAGCTTTATTTTTACTGCTGTAACGTAACCGAAAAACACAATTGAAACCTTTTGAACCCTCAACATAAGCGACTCTGTTATTATGCTGTGTTGTTGACCGGATTTCCTTCAACCTCAATGAACCAATGAATGCCCTTCCAGTACTTCCTCACTAGAACTCAGACCTGGTTAATCAAACCTGCACAATCGATGCGCAGTTCTTCAGTGTCTCTGAGGATGCCAAGCTCGATAGATTGATAGGTGATGTCTGATATTTGATTTCCCGCGAAAGAGACCCGCCACGGTGCTCACAGACTCGAGGGAAACAGCTACGTGGTGAGTTAATAAACATTACAATGGTTTAACTTAATCGAAAGTGTAAAGTACAACGATACAATAATGCTATCCCCTGCTAGCATGTACAATAAGTATGCCTGTGACATTAATTATGATTTAGCCTAGCAGCTGCAGCCTGCAGCTTTAAAGCTCTGTATGACAAAGCTACTCACCATGACACGGTCTGTCCTGCAAACCAAATCCCCCTCAAAAACGGAACATTTAATATGTCCTTCTTTCCCCGTCATCCACAATCATATAAACAAGCGTATGGTAGCTTTTCCTTGAATAATCTTTAATTCGGCATGCATCAGTCAAAGTAGGACGCATGTAAACACAATGTAAACTTGAAAAGCAGAGTGGTGTAATGTTATATGCTAAACAACACTGGAAGACCTCAATTGCGTGTGTGTGACAACAGAATAATAATTAAACATCATTTCATTTTTTTTCAGATTTTTGTGATTTCAATTTGAGCTTCAGCCAAACACAATGGGAATTCACGGGCTTACTAAACTGATCGCTGATCAGGCCCCTGGTGCCATCAAAGAGCAAGACATCAAGAACTACTTTGGTAAATGTTACAGGTCCCTTTCCCTACTTATTGATGACTGTACTAGAAATGTGAAAGAGATCAGATGAAAGTTTAATGATCTCCCCTGGGATCAATGCTGTATCAGATGGTATGGTGATATGAGAGATGGAGGATGAATCACTTCCAGAAATAAGAGCCATTATATAGTGAATGAAGGCTTGCATAGAAACCATGTCATAGATCAATGGGATCAATGCCTTATATGCCTTATAGTTAGCTAACTGCTTTTCTAAACGTTTGCAGGTAGGAAAATTGCAATAGATGCCTCCATGTGTATCTACCAGTTCCTGATCGCTGTGAGACAGGACGGGAACCTACTGCAGAATGAGGATGGCGAGACGACGAGGTAAAGCCACCACAATACAGACATTAAGTCGTAATAGGAGACACACTAAAGAGGCTGTAGTTATTTTCTTGATCCTAGACTACGTAGCTCATATCTGGACCCAATGCTGAAACATTTCTGCCACCTCCTTTCCTCAGCCACCTGATGGGAATGTTCTACCGGACGATCCGCATGCTGGAATATGGAATCAAACCTGTGTACGTGTTTGACGGAAAGCCCCCACAGCTCAAGTCAGCAGAGGTTAGTATGAGCTCTGATTTCCTGTTGTCTGATAGATCAGTACATGCGATGTAAATGTTTTACAGCTGTTTACATGTGTTACTCAGCTATTTGGTAATCAAAAGGGGGCAACTACAGTTGCACTCACTGTATTATTGAGATCATTATTTACGTTTGCTTATTAAAACCCTACATCCTGTCTTTTGTTAACTCATTCTCTTACTCTATCTTTGCTCTTCTTGTCACCCCTAGTTGGAGAAGAGAGGGGAGAGGAGAGCGGAAGCTGAGAAGCAGCTTGCTCAAGCTCAGGAAATGGGTACAGTTCATATTTTTATCCCTTTCTTTAACATTTATCATATGTGGTGGATCAAAATCAGTGTGTATATTTGGTTATTAGCAGGGGTGTAAACCAACATCATCAGTCTTGATACTCATATTTAAGCTTTTTTACATGGTTGAGATTGTTGCATTGGTTATGAATTTAAATGTTTATTGAAATGATTTGTCTTGACCCAGGGGAGCAAGAGAATATCGACAAATTCACCAGGCGTCTGGTAAAAGTGACCAAGCATCATAACGACGAGTGCAAGAAGCTGCTGACCCTGATGGGAGTGCCCTACGTTGAGGTAAGATCTACTCTCACTTTGCTACTCTTGCTGGATTTGTATCAAAAGAGACTTTTCCAATAAGTCTTGTAAAATATATCCCATCATGAGGTTTTTGCAAGTGCATGGTTATTATCACGATAGGCAGGTTTCCAAAAAGAAAAAGTAGATTTGTGTCTGCCTTAACAACTAAATCTGAATCCTCTCACCCTTTATACATTTGGATACATTATGAAGTACATTTTAAAGTGAATGTACAGTGAAATGCCTCCTACTCTAAGCCCTCAGAGAGATGTCAGAGAGATCAACGGCAGCAGAACAGGTCCGAGGGAATCATTATTGGAAATATCATTGGATGTGTTTTGTCCTGTAGGCTCCGTGTGAGGCGGAGGCCAGCTGTGCTGCTTTGGTTAAAGCAGGGAAGGTGTTTGGAACAGCAACGGAGGATATGGACGGGCTGACCTTTGGGACAAATATCCTGCTCAGACACATGACCGCCAGTGAAGCAAAGTAAGCACCTGCATCCCACAGTCACTGCATCGTTCATACCCACTGCTCTCAGGCTCTGTAGCACAGATGTTCCTGAAGAGGAGAGGATATGCCCAGTGTTGCAACACAAACAATAGTAATAAGAATTTATTTATTTTATGGACTTAAATAAATCATTGCAAAATGTATTTGTTTTTAGGAAACTTCCTATCCAGGAGTTCCACTTCAGTCGCATCCTGCAGGACATCGGCCTCACCAATGAACAGGTAAAGAAATATTGCAGCAGTAATTTGTATAATAATAAAATAACCACCGTTGGACCAGGTACACAGGTGATATGTTTGCATTAACTCCGCCTCTCTCCTCCTGTAGTTCATAGACCTGTGTATCCTGCTGGGCTGTGACTACTGCGGCACCATCAAGGGAATCGGTCCCAAGAGGGCCATCGACCTGATCAAGCAGCACGGCAGCATTGAGGAGATCCTGGAAAACATCGACACCAAGGTAATCAACGTCTGCTACCATCCATAAGTCCAGGAAGTTTAATGAATGAGTTCTCGTTTCTCATTGTTTATGTCCGTTTTTTCCTTAATGCAGAAGCACCCCCCTCCAGAGGACTGGCTGTACAGAGAGGCCAGGGCTTTGTTTTTAAATGCAGAAGTGGTGGATTGTACCACTGTGGATCTGAAGTGGGGGGAGCCGGATGAGGAGGGACTGATCCAGTACATGTGTAGCGAGAAACAGTTCAGGTAAACCAGCAGAGATTCATTGGGTTTTGTTGCTTTGATGATGATCATGACATGTGTTATTGCAATGATTATATGAGCAGATCAGCTGTGTATACACCGTCTGACCACTAGGCTGCGCTGCCAGTCACAGAGGCAGAGTTTTTAGTCCAAGCATCACTTAAACATATGGCCTTTTTCCGTCATATATATGGTTTATATAGCTATAGCTGCAACATCCATCTTAATTTGATAAAAATCTTAAAAATGACTAATGCAATATTAGTGAGCAACATATGTTAAAAAACCTTTCTAAATGAATTATTAAAGTCCAGACCTACAAACGGTGTTCTAAAGACTTATTAAAAAGTCCTTGTTTAGTATAGATCCTCTTAAAATCAAACTAAGATCACTTGGATATATGTTTCACCCTTATCGTGAGTAATGTTTAAATGTGATCCCCTCTCTCTCCCTTTCAGCATGGTATCTCTAATAAAGGCACTCTCTGGCCCAAAAATATCTTAAAGAAAATAAAAAAAGCATATCGCAAATCCGTCCAAAAAATAGAGAGAGCACATACCTGAGTCTGTTCGTGACCATCTTCTAAATGCTGGTTTAAATGCTTGTTTATTGCTGAGAAATAATGTGTGCAAAGTTCACCTGGAACTATCACTGTTTGGATGATAACATGTACATTTGTATTTATCGATTGATGCATTTGTGTGCAGCGAGGACAGGATCCGTAACGGCTGTAAGAAGATCTCCAAGAGCCGACAGGGCAGCACTCAGGGACGACTCGACTCTTTCTTCAGCGTCACCGGGTCTCTGTCCTCCAAGCGGAAGGTACGTTCAGAACAATATCAGAGTGACTGTGAATCCAAAACAATGGGATCGTTGCATTTCTTTCTTAACCTAAATGGATTTGTTTGTTCTCCTTTTCTTTAAGGAACCTGAGCTTAAAGGATCTGCAAAGAAGAAGCAAAAGACCGGAGCCACGTCAGGCAAATTCAAGAAGGGAAGATAGACTGAGCATTGGGCTCCTTGTGATTCCTTTTAGATTTCATATTGTAATAAATATCATCCCATTAAATAAAAAGTGTTAAAACCAACGTTTGTCTCCAGGTGAGGCAGGAGAAAGCTGCATGTTACAGGTTCAGCTGAACAATCCTGTATGTACATGACCAACAGGATTTTGTTGATGTAAAAAAAATATATAAATATAAATAAGTGTTTGAGGCTTTTTTCAAAGTATGTTTTCCGGTATCGAATAAAAGCATATTTGTAAAATAATTTGTTGCCATCCTATTGATTTGAATTTTGTCACACATTTATTTTAGATTAAATTAAATGTCATGGCACACAGTAAGTACGACAAAACAGTACATCGGGTTAAAGATGAAAAAAAGAGGACAAGATTTTGTAATCCGTCACTATAGTGTGTCCATTATTGTGCTTGTGTGATAAAATAACAGGATATGAGTAGTTACAAGTGCTTTCTTTTCTGTAGAAACCGGGGTCATGTGGTGTGTAGCAGCTATAAAAGCTTTAAATCTTGTTTCACATCCTTTTGTATTACGCGACCGATGTGGAAGTACGTTTTTTGGTCTTTTGTAAGGTTCAACGCCTTATTTTCTCCATTTTCCCCGAGGTAAGATGAATCATTTTACTGCTTTTTAGTGAATTTGAATATAGCGTTTTAAGCCACATAGTTATTTTGTTCATCTTTTCAATCATAAGAGAAATAGGGTCTGATGAAATACTGCATTTTTCCTGTTTGTTTGTCGGATATTATTATTGAATATAACAATTCAAGATGGGGTACAATGTCTAAAGGAAGAAATCAGTGAGGGGAAGAAGTATTATATATTAGAATTATCCTTAACCTAAAAGTACTAATACCACAATTAAAAAAAAAAAAATTTAAACGAGTAAATCTGCATTTAAAATCTGATTTACGTCAAAGAGTGCAAGTGCAATCAATAACATATACTAAACGTGAAATACTATATTCAGATGATTCTTAATGATGCAGTTACATGTAAAATGCATTTCAAATTGAAGTTGCAGGTCATTTTATTTAGTTATACTGTTTGGCTGTTGTATTTGCAGTCCATTGTTTCATCTCGCAGGTTTTGAAATCCTTATCTGCAAAGTAACTAAGGTCATCAAATAGAAGTAGTGGAGTAAAAAGTACAGTACAAAGAAACTACTTGAGTAAAATTAGTAGAAGTACCCATAGATAGTTATTAAGTATTTAGTTGATTAATTGTACTTCAGGGTTTTATCCTGACGACGAATGGGAAGTAACCGCACTGTCACTGTTTCTAAATCCAGGTGAGAAGTGTCTGCAGACCAGTGTGTGAAAATGGCAGCCATCATGTTACTGAGTGTCTTTGTTTCAGGTAAGCTGTTCCTTCCCTCACTGCAAAGAAAACATCTGTAGGATCATTTTTTATAAACATTCCCTTCATGCTGATTTTTTTCTCCATATGAACTAATCATGAATTTGTTCCACAGGGGCTCTGGCTTCTTGTCCTGAACATGCTCAGCCTCTTGTTACCACACCTCAGGAGATGGAAGCACTGAGTGGATCCTGTCTGCAGATCCCATGTAACTTCAGCATAAATGCAGAAGAGACATTTGACCGTACAGGACCAACGTCCGGATTGTGGATTAAATCTGATTATTATTACTACTTTGGAAGTAAAGTGGTTTTCAACGGCAACATGATGGAAAATATCTATCCTATGAGTCTTACTGGAGACCTGAGTCGGAAAGATTGCTCGACCCTATTTTCCAGTGTAATCACAAGTTACACAGGCAGCTACCTCTTTAGGATCGACAACCGGCCATTACGCAGAATGGAAACTTGTGATCCTCTTCAAATAAAAGTTAAAGGTAAGAGAAGTTTGTTTTTGTCAGTCAATCTATACTTTTAGAGAACGTAATAGGCTGATAGGAAAGTACATTTCAAAACCACACCAAAGGATTAGGACAACAAAAACATCTGGTTCTTGATGACTGAAGTGTGCTCTGTATTAAAAACAAATAAATGAATTGTATCCTATTCGACGTCACAAATCAAAACCTTAAAGGACTCCAAAACCGTAGTCTTTTATAAATACGCTTGTTAGAATAGTTTTATTTTATTTGACATGATTTGACAAATTCTCACGTTTCATATACTGTAAGTATTTAGTGTCTCTCCTGGGACATGTCTCCTTGCTTTAATGTTCAAAAAGCTCTTTATTGTTCTCATACTGCCTGTGCTGCAGCACCTCTTTTCACCCTCTGTCTGAAACCAGAGCCCAGTCTGCTCTGATTGGTTAGCTGGACCTAGTGATGTCACTATGTTACGGAAGTAAACATTTGTGGCGTTTCAGGCAGGCGGGGAATTTGTGGGAGAAACTCACTCTGGAGGGAATTTAAAGGATTGGAGTCTTTGCAGACCATTTACATGCACACAACCTATTTAACACTGTACAGGAATGGGAGGACTCCAAAGACATGATATGGCCTCTTTAAGTCACTATAATTACTATTTCAAGATTTAATTTAATTTATTTTTAGGGTATTTAATGACACACTTGAATAATATACAATACAATAACACAGATTTGTGACCAATCTGTATTATTTTGATTTTATGATAAAATCTGTTAATGTATGAAAACTCCACAGATTCTCCTCCAAGGCCCAGAATTAACATTTCAAACCCAGGTGATCTGAAGGAGGCGGAGTCTGTCACTGTAACCTGCTCAGCTCCAGCTCCCTGTCCACACTCCCCTCCTAAACTCACCTGGACTCTCCAACAAGACCCTCCCAACACAATGGAGGAAAACCCAGATCGGACCTTCACGACTAAGATCCAGAAGACCCTCACTCTGACAGACCAACATGATGGATTCAACATCACCTGCTCTGCCAGCTATCCTGTGAATGAAGGGAAAGATGTGAAGACAGCAGAGGAGACAAAGACTCTCCATGTTTCATGTAACATTACATTATTTTATTAATGATAGCAGCTGGCAAAACAAATTATGTTTTCTCATCGTTCCATGTGTCCTCCAGACGCTCCCAAAGATGTCACGGTGGTCGTCAGTCCAGCTGATCCGGTGTCAGTCGGCAGCGTGGTGAATCTGACTTGCTCCTGCAGAGGAATCCGTGCTGCTGACGGCTTTGCCTGGCTCATGATGATGAGTGATGGCCGACTGCACACGATGGAAGATAACACACAGCTTTATGTATTTGAAGTCACCAACAGTGATCGAGGCAGATCATATTTCTGTGGGTGCAGCAATGTGTTGGGCCTTCAACTATCGAAAGGACGTGCGTTGATATTTGAAGGTAGCTGCAGGAGTCATGGTTTGAGATCTTTTAATGTTTCCCAGTGAGTGGAAGATGACCATGCTGTTGGGTTGCAGGTGATCATGAGACGGTTGATGGTCATTTGATACTGAAGATCCTGGGAATCATAATGCTCGTCAGTACAATGGTCATCTTTGAATGGTGAGACAAACTCTCCTGTCATATGACATATGCAGCTACACAGTGATTTGTATCTTTGGCTGTAGATCATTATCATCACAACATAAACAAAATATTTGCTTTTCCTTTTTTTCCAGCTGGTTTAGATCAAGGTGCTCTTCTAAACCAGAGAAGGTGTCCACCAGACAAGGAAAGGTATCTGTAACTGCCTTCATGACAACCAAAATAAAACCAACTGGAAATAGTTTCTAATTTAGCTCTTAGGAATCGATTAGCTAGGGTTTATTTGTAGGTTTATTTGTATTTGTTCCACAAGTGCTGATTCTGTGTCTGTAGCTTTAAATGCTAATGAGCTGCTGCTGGCCACGCCCCTCTGAGAAGTGATTGGTTTGAACAAACACAATGGTGCTCTCGGAGGAGATTCAGGTGATCAGGTGGGCGGGAGTTACGTTGGTTGGTGATTGGCTAGTGGTTGTACAACCCAAAAAAACATGACATCACAAAGTGGCCAAAATGTGATCAGCTCATTTTCAGACAGGTTTTTATATAAAAGGATCAGGACAAAAAGAGAGGGAATCTATTTTCCTTTCAGAATCTCTTAACACAGAATCGAGACATGTTTATGTATTAAAGACATGAAAAAGTGGATTTTGCATAAAAGGTGACCTTTAAAGGGTCTTTTTAGTTATTTGGTTGATTGCTCCGTCTGCTGTACAGTGTATGGTGTTGTGAGGTCCTGAGACACAACTGTTATTCTGTTTAAATTACAGTAAACTCCCCTCTTATTTTTCAGGACGCAGCAGAAGCAGACTATGTCAACCGTGTGGTCGAGTTACAAACATCTTGAGTCACAAAGAGAGCAGGAAGACGTTCAGTTCACTTTTACTGAAAGAAAATGCTGTATTGATTTGCCTTATATGTTCCACATTAAGAAGGAGTGACTTACAGGATTGCAGTGAGAGGTGTGATGAAAATAAAAACAGGATTTTAGCAGCGAGACGAAAGGTCATGATGTGGCATCTAGCAGATACAAAAGCCTGGTGTGTGTGTCTCCACTTCCTTTTGTCTCGCAAGACTAAATACTGTAGTACATTGTTGGACACCTTACATTACTTCCTGAATTGCACATTTTGGTAAGAGAATCATTTCAATGCTTTCTACAACATTTTTCAGGTATTTTTGGTTTAGGATAAAAAATCTATTTCGTATTGATTTGCCTGAGTGTGCCACTTAAAATTCAGATTTCTGCACATACTAATGGATGCATGTGAACTGTGTTAAATTAAAAACAAATCAGGGGTTAAAAAAAAAATCTGTGCAGAAGCTTTGAATGTTATGCATACAAATACATTCAGATATCTAAGTAACTGTTTTGATGATGATACATTGTAATATTTAAAATGGTAAGCACCAACATTGTGAATTAAATAAACTTCATACTTATTGCTCTTGAAATATGTCATTGTTTTTGTTCACGACATGACTCATGTCCTTTGAAACCTTAACATCTGACTTCCATACTACTTTTAAGAAAAGAGAACAGTCTCTGGTACATAATAATTAATGAAGTTGGTGATTTGGCTCCTTACTTTAATAATAACAGAATAACAGAAAAGTAAATACATACCTTTTGGATTTTGAATTGCCAATTTATTTTCCACCTATTATTCATGTGTGTTTAAATACAGAGTATTACAAAGATAGTAAAAGGTTTTGATGAAATCTTTACTTTATTGTCTCTGTTAACATCCAGTCCAAATGTATTGACTCTCTGATCATTACTTACAGAGCTACAAGAGAAGAATACATTTTCACTATTTTTGGCTATGGACCAAAATTGCAATAAAATATTTCTTACACAACCATCCACATGATTGTGCTTTGTTCTACATCGGTTAGGGGTGGTTTGTTCCCCTTTTATCACAGGAAAAGTGCAGCGTTGACAAAAAGTGCAGCAAATGTAGTCATGTGATTTCTAGCAGTTTTGTCTCTAAAAAAGGGAAACATTTCTTTAAAGCAAATCCTCTTTCTTTATATTACAGCGGCTAGGGGTTAGTTCAGTTCCCTGTGGGCTCGTGTGGTAAGGAAACATTTTACTGAACTCTTCTATTGTATTTTTTATATTTATTTTAAAGCACAGCTCTGCAGATGCCTTTAAATGCAAAGTGCTAACTAACCCTGGTTGTACAGGGCAAGTTTCTGTGGTGCCTTTGAAGTAGGGAAGTTGCTTTAAAGGCACTTTGTCAAAACTGAATCGATATATGATTAACACAAATGAAAAGTAACAGTGTTCTTGTTTTTGCAAATCCAGAATCCTGAATATGGTGACCAACATGTTGCTGCTAGTCCTCTTTGTTTCAGGTGAGATGTTTGTTACTTTAATCGTTTACAATCTTTACTTATAAAAAGCAGAAATACCAGAATGACTCCTTTGTTCACATCCTGAGTTTGTATACAATTTGCTTACAAAAACACAGTTTGTTAATATGCTCTTTTTTCTTCCTGCAGATTTTCTCCCACATCTTGTTGAAGGTGCTTGTTCTAGGCCCCTTTACATCACCACCCCGAAGCGGATGGAAGCACTGAGTGGATCCTGTTTGCTGATCCCGTGTATCTTCAGCGCTGTCCCAGATAACTCAGATAAGGGCTTCAACAGCTCACGAGAAATCTTCGGAGTGTGGATTAAAAACGAGTCCGCATTTGGCCAAAAACCAAAGAACGTGATTTTCCACAGTGATGGGACAATCAACAGATATCCAATGAGTATTACAGGAAACCTGAGACAGAGAAACTGCACCACTCTGTTTTCTAGTTTGGAAAAAAGTCACACAGACAAATACTTCTTCAGGATTGAGAACAGCCCATTTAAGGCAACAGCTGCATGTGATCCTCTTCAAATAACAGTGGAAGGTAAGAGACTTTTTGTTGGAGTAGTAGTCATACCTTTATTGTTAAATTATACATCTAGGATAATAAATGTATCAGTTATTACAGAAATTATTCAGACAATCAAAAAGTCATAATATCTGAAACCTGCTAAATCCAAATATATTACAGTATATAATATTGTATGCATTACAATTACAAATAATGCACGTCTTCATGCACAGATATGAGTCTCATGTGGTGACCGGTGGATGACAACATCTACTAAGGATGCAGCTGACTGATCTTTCTTTTCCAGTTTTACAATAAGATGTACATTTTTTTGATTACTGTTGAAAACTGTATTGGCCTGTATCCTTACATTTAAAATGTATAAAACCACAGATTCTCCTCCGAGCCCCACCATTGAGATCCCAGGTGATCTGAAGGAGGCGGAGTCTGTCACTGTAACCTGCTCAGCTCCAGCTCCCTGTCCACACTCCCCTCCTAAACTCACCTGGACTCTCCAACAAGACCCTCCCAACACAATGGAGGAAAATCCAAATCGGACCTTCACGACTAAGATCCAGAAGACCCTCACTCTGACAGACCAACATGATGGATTCAACATCACCTGCTCTGCCAGCTATCCTGTGAATGAAGGGGAAGATGTGAAGACAGCAGAGGAGACAAAGACTCTCCATGTTTCATGTAAGAACAACCTGTGATTGTCTGCACATGATGGTATGATTTGAATGAAGTTAATCTCACATTTTCCTCAGATGCTCCTCAGGACACCTCCGCCTCCGTCAGTCGGCCCTCAGGTTCGGTGTCAGCGGGCAGCTGGGTGAGGCTGAGCTGCTCCAGCAGAGCCCAGCCTCCCGTCAGCAGCTTCACCTGGTTCAAGGAGAGCCAAGATGGAGACATGAACGTCTCACAGGGAGAGATTTACAGCGTTAATGCCACAGAGGGAGGACGTTATTACTGCGTGGCCACAAATGAGCTTGGTGATGGAACGTCAACAACGATCCATCTGGCTAACGGAGGTAAACACAGAAATGTACTGCATACGTTTGTGAAATAGGAGCAGGTATTGTTGGATAAAGCAGTTTATGCATCAATGTAAATATATGCAAAAATGTGAATAATGAGTTTGATGGGAAGTTAAAAAACATATTTAGATAGAGAAAATGTGGTCTATAAATGATAAGTTAGGATTTCGCCACATAAAATAGGACGAAAAGAGATGTGTAATTGGAAAGGAATTTCATCAACTGAGAAAACATTTTGAATTTTTCAACTGTCTGTCATTGTCTGTGTTTCCTAAATACTGTATGAAGTCAAGCTCTACATGAAATCTGGATTATAGCCACAAATGTTTTTTTTTCCTGTAGGAACTGATGGCTCTTCACCATGGGGGGGAGTTGTTGGGGGGATCATTGGGATCATGATACTCATCTGTTTTGCTGTTGCTGTTTGGTAAGTAACTCAAATCAATTTAATATCAAAGTCTATTACATGAAGTTGACCGCTCTTTATCTCTTCCAGGTGGTTGAAGTCCAAACACACAACTCAAGAACAGTCACAGGTGGGGAAATACTCAAATCTGCAGTACATATATGTGTTGTGAATACTTTCTTTAAGGGGACCTATCATGCAAAATGCACTTTTGTACGTCTTTTATACATGAATATGTGTCCCCGGTGTTCCAGGGAACTCACCAAGTGTCAGAAAACACAACCCTCTCTATTTTCCTCCATACCCAAATCTCTAAAAAAGGGGCTGCAACGGATCTGATAAAAACTGATCCAGATTTGAACACTGTCCTGACGTCAGGACGGTGGCGCTACGGCTATTGGGCCAACTCCACCAATCAGGAGGAGACAGCCACGGCCATTGCCGTTCGAAAGCGCTGGAGACGCTGTAGTACATATGCCAGGCCTGTAAGTGGCGCTGTAGTCTGCCACAAAAGCAGTGAAGAAGACTTGGTTACCATAGTTACCCTTCTGTTTATTCTCCGCTGTGGCTTTCTTTCTCCCTCCCCGAGGCAAGCGTTTGCTCCCGCTGCTTTAATTCAATGCAATCCCTCCCCGTCGAGGCAAGCACTGTAATTCTCTCCGGTTAGTCCACCAGCAGATGACAAACACCCACCTCTCCGCCTCTTCCAAGGAACGAGGGGACCGTGCGGCAGAGTTTCAGTTTCAGTTTCTTTCGCCGGTCAAGATGTCCGTTAAAGTTTAAATCTTCTGGACAAAATTAGAAAAGTGCCGGTCAATGGTCTTCTTTGTTATTTATTGAGCTTTAAAACAAATGAATAACGACTCTATAGGCCTATAATAACACGGAGGACGGAGATCTTTTTTTCTCCCCCTCTTCTGACAGCCCAGCAGCTGATCAGAGCACGTCTCCCCTCTCCTGCAGGGGGGCGTGGTCAGCTGCAGCTCACAAAATCAGACCCGTAGACAGCAAACAACACATAGAGCGAAATGAGGCATGGCTAAAATGCATGATCTGTTTGGTATTTCGAAAACAGAAACGTATAAATATACCTTATATAGGTATGGCCCTACAATATATCATTTAAATATAGCATGATAGGTTTCCTTTAAATAGACTGGAGACTGCACAATCTACAGTAAGTTCCTTATTTATGAGTAAATGTGGCACAATGAACCACTGTCATGGTGTTTCATCAGAGTTCCTATTTCTATTTCTCAACTCTCAGCAGGGGGAGCAGATCAGGGGAGAACATGAGACACAAATCAATGATACGCAGATGCTAACAGCTGTCCAAGAATCAGCCGCAGCAACAGAAACAGGAGAAGAAATCCACTACGGAGAGATCGACTTCTCCAAGCAGAGGAATAAAAGTCCCCCTGTCTCAGAGCAGGACGGTGGACAGACGGAGGACCCGCTGTACGCTGAGGTCAAAGTGTCAGAGACAGCAAACAGACCAGAGGACCTCTACGCTCAAGTGAAAAGGAAATGAATTTATAAACATGTCTTTTTTTAGACAAATATTCAAGTTCTTTTCCATATATTTAAAGTGTCATATTTATGGTATTTATTGTTCTTAAAAATCAATTTTTGGCGCTTTAATAAGAGGCCCTGCTATACAACAAACTGCATTTTTTAACCCAAAATTTTACATTTGGTTTGCAAGTATTACTAAGAGAGTGCCATTTATTCATAGAAATAAACAAAGAAGGAGGAGTTGTTAGGCCTTGTCAAATCAAAATCATCAGACTATCAGAAGTAAAGTTAGACGATGATGAATAAAATAGGAAGTTAACATTTTAAAATATCTTAATTATCTGGTTTAATCAACCATCTGTTATTTTCACTCGAGATATGATCTGAGAAATGATGTGTACTATTTTTGTGTAAAGGTCATTTCACAAAATAAACCAACAGGTATTTAATTTTTTGTTTAAGTTGAAGTAATGCTAAAACTATAAAGTATTATTATTATTATATAGTAGGGTATCGTATTCTATGTATTTATTTATGAAGCATGGATATATTTATTTATCTTTTTTTGACATAACTTTTATCAGTTTTGAAATTCACATGAGTCTTTTTTCCATGGAGGCTCTCACTAGTTTGACGTGGGTGTGACTTAGGTTGGAAAATATGATGTCACCTCTTTCTGTGCACCAATCAAGATTTAGCATCGTATTAATTTCCCCTTAAACTGTGGTTTTTTTCTCCGGAAGGTTTTCCTTGTACGATGTGAGGGTCTAAGGACAGAGGGTGTCGTTTTCTCATACTGATATTCTGCACAAACTGTGCTGTTATATTTGCTGTAAAGTGTCCTCACTGTAAGGTAATTATTATACAGCACTTTGGCTAGACCAAAAATCGTTTTAGAAATGTGCTATATAAATAAAACTTAATTTGATTTGATTTGAATCACAATCTGATGACAGCTGGGTGGGTGTTGAAGTTTTGACAGTGTTCAAATATTCATTGATTATAGCTAAATATGTGTATTGTTGCCTATTTTATAATGATACTGAGGATGATGCAAAGCTCTCAGGGGCTTCCAAGTTAAAGAGGTGCAAATGTACAGTATGCTACTTAATAAAAATGAATCCATCAAATAAACACAATTTACAGAAACAAGACTACATGTGTAAATATATTTCACATCATTAATCCAAATCTCCAAGGTAACTAAAGGTGTTAAATATATGTAGTGGAGTAAAAGTACACAATTGACCTCTGAATTGTAGTGGAGTAGAAGATTGAAATACTCAAAATACAAGTACCTCAAAATTGCACTTAAGTGAAGTACTTGGTAAATGTACTTATAGTTACTTTACACCACTGGATGTAAGACATGGCATGAGTTCTGTTGCAGTGTTTTATGTTTCATTACAGATCATGTAATACAGAGTGTGTCCACTGGGTGTCACTGTTGCTCACATGGAGGTCCTAACGCAGTGGTGTATTGTAGGGTACTGTCCCCTTCATTTAATGTCATAGTTACTTTTATTTAAAGGATGTGATATGAATTTGTAATATTCAACTCATCTACCCAGTTGCAAACAAAGTATCTTACATTTGCTCCACAATAACACAATACTACATTAAAATAAGTCATGAATTAGTGATAAAAACAGAAGAATATCATATTTTAAATAATGTAATGCCACAAATTAATAATATTTCAATTCAAAATATTTTAATGATATATTTTGTATTCTGCATAAAGAGCTAGAATGTTTTTTTGCAGTATTCTTTTTTTAATGTGATATATTATTTTTAGACACTGCTGCATATTTGTTTTACCATAGTCTATTTTTTTATTATTACATTATATTTTTAACTTGCCTTTTTATATAATATGTAACTCTTCTACTTTGCTGTAATTGTTCCCACTGCGGGAAGAATAAAGGATTTCTGATGTTTCACATGTACTTCCTGTTTTTTTAATGTAGGTCACTGGTACCACTAAACCAGCAGGACTTTCTGCGTGGAGCTGAAACACAGGAAGTATCCCCGTGGTTAAATTACACCCTAAACAAGGAAGTTGGTTATTTGTATTTAAGCTCAAATTCACCCTCTGATATTCATTTCCCACAGAAGAGTCTCATCGCATCTCTCTTTTTCATATAGGATTTTTTGGTAAGAACATTTCCAGATTGTATTATATTATGTTAAAAATTACTTTTCATGAACTAAAAAAACAAACATTATATGATCTAATATTTAATTTGATCCTTTTTTTTGGTGAGAATTAAAGGTGGGGTATGTAATTTATTTCAGAAAAACTTTTTGTTATATTCCATGGAATGCTCTTAACATCCCGATAGCAATGAATATCTTAAATGCTTTGACAATAAATACATAACAAAATGTCATCTGTGGAAGCCGTGGCGCTGTAAAAGCACGACCAATCATCTGAGCCGGCCCGGCTAAAATAACTGGATGGCCTACCTGCCTGTCAGCCTTCCATCTGTGCACAAACTTATCTCGTGCCGTCATTGGTCATGTGCGCGTTCGTGTGTGTTGGAGGAGGGGCTCTGTAAGGAAGAGGCTGATTTTTTCCGGCTGTGTAGTTTCAAATTCTAGCGCACTCGAGCTGGTTTCTCCAAAATGTCATACCCCACCTTTAAGACCTGAGAAGGAATCATTTGCATCAGCGTTTAGATTTTTAGCATCAGTTTCTCTGTTCAACACGATGACTCCGGTTTGTACCAGCTCTAAAACTTGTTTAAACAGTGTCAAAGTTATTGTTTTTGTTTTCCAACTTAGGAGCTGGGAGCCATGTCTGCAACAGAAATCGTGATACTCCACATCCTCTTTATTTCAGGTGAGCTTGTCTACCAACATTGGTGCCGGAAAAACATGCAACATCCCGCTGCTGAGGTATATTTAGTTTGTCTATTCATGCTGATTTTTCTAACCTCATATTCATCATGAGTCTGGTTTGACAGGTTCTATGGATTGCACAGACCTTTCCATTACTGCACCGAAGGAGATGGAGGCACTGAGTGGATCCTGTTTACACATCCCGTGTACATTTAGTGCTACAGAAGAAATTAAGATTGATAACAGAATTGGAATGTTGATTAAAATCACCCATGAGCACCTTGGAGAAGATCCAGAAAATGTGATTTTTAACAGTAATAAGGCAAAGAACACCTATCCAATGAATATCACTGGAAACCTGAGTGAGAACAACTGCAACACTCTGTTTTCCAGTTTAAACACAAGTTACACAAACAAATACTTCTTCAGATTTAAGAAGAAAACATTTAAAGCAACTGCTTCTGACGATCCTATTCAAATAACAGTTAAAGGTAAGGTTTTTTATCATAATGTTATAGCGAAAACAGAACGATTAAATACTAATTGTGTATTAAACCTGCACAGATTCTCCTCCGAGCCCCACCATTGAGATCCCAGGTGATCTGAAGGAGGCGGAGTCTGTCACTGTAACCTGCTCAGCTCCAGCTCCCTGTCCACACTCCCCTCCTAAACTCACCTGGACGCTCCAACAAGACCCTCCCAACACAATTGAGGAAAACCCAGATCGGACCTTCACGACTAAGATCCAGAAGACCCTCACTCTGACAGACCAACATGATGGATTCAACATCACCTGCTCAGCCAACTATCCTGTGAATGAAGGGAAAGATGTGAAGACAGCAGAGGAGACAAAGACTCTCCATGTTTCATGTAAGAACAACCTGTGATTGTCTGCACATGATGGTATTATTTTGATTAAGTTAATCTCACATTTTCCTCAGATGCTGTTGGGTTGCAGGTGATCAACAGATTGGGACGGTAGGCCTAGATGTTCATTTGATACTCAAGATCCTGGGAATCATAATGCTCGTCAGTACAATGGTCATCTTTGAATGGTGAGACAAATTGTCCTGTCATATGACATATACAGCTACACACTAATGTGTATATTTGGCTGTAGATCATTATTATCACAACATAAACAAAACAAAAATGTTTTTATTTTTTTTCCAGCTGGTTTAGATCAAGACGCTCTTCTGAACCAGAGGAGGTATCCACCAGACGAGGAGAGGTATTTCATATTGGACACATTTAACTGCCTGCATGACAACCAAAAAAATCCAACTGAAAATAATTCCTAATTTAGTTCTTAGGGATCAATAAACTAGGGTTTATTTGTAGTTTTTCTTGTATTTGGATGTGCATAATTAAGAAGGGATTATCCTCCAATTATTATACTTTTTAACAGTAGTGACATCACATGCAAAGCAGCACATTTCACTACTGAGACATCAGAGCTGGGTGCAGGCATTTACAAATATTCACTATTGATTTTGAAGCAGGTTAAAGCAATGAAAATAACTAAAACATCTGGTTATGTTACCTTATACCGCAGCCTTGATGTTAGCTGGTGACAAATGGAGTGTTTAGCAGCTTAGGAGCAACAAATATTAGATGAATATTCTTCAGTTATCAGACGTGTGACTCCAAATGAAGGCTAATGTTGCTCCATGTCTGATGGAAGTGTAAAAAGGTAACATGTTTGCAATAACAATTATATGAATGGGTCCATTAAAACACAGATTGCTGATAACAGAACATCAGACATAAATACAGAGAAAACATAATCATAGACAAATACAAGTGTTCCCCAATAAAAATCAAGTCAAACTTTAAACCTGCATTCATTTATTTTGAGTGCAGTCCAACAAGCTCTAACACAACATTAACGTAGTATCACCTTGTAAAGATGATATAGCAAACATTATTGTGTATATGTGTGCGTTGTAGTGTGCATATTTCAACTTATTCTTTAAAGATCCCCTATGATACTCTTTTTCAACAATATATTATAGATCTCAGATATACACAAAACATGTCTCTGAAGTGTTTGGCTGAAATACCAAACAGATCATTGCAGCATCCCATAATCCCCTCTGTTTCAGCCCTGTTTCAAAAGCAATAGTATGAAGCACTCTCAGGACCGCACTCTCAGGACCGCACTCACAGGACCCTAGTTGTTTTGCAACATCGCCACCTAGCGGATTGGATGACCACAAAAGTACAACCAGCGAGTATTGAGTCTCATACACAGCGAGTCTCTTTAGACATTGTAATGCTTGTTATTAACCATCTAAAAATGCATGAAAATATGTTTTTCTTACTGAAATTAAATTATTATTATTAACAACAAGTTGTTGTTAATATGTTTTTGTTTTTAATAACAAATGTATTTTGTATGTCAGATGTAAAAAGATAGTCTTTTATATTTGTCTTATCAAATTTGACATACAACATAAATATATATATATATATATATATATATATATATATATATTGTAGTAATAATGATATAATCTATTTATAATTGTAAATGTATATTGTATGTAGACATACATTTAGATGTATATTTTGTTAAAAGAAAACAAAACTGTTGATTTAGTTTTTGGGAGAAGGGGTGGGGTTAAATAAGTGTAAACTCCTTTGAATCAATTTGATACTGCTTATGTTTCTACAGTATCATAATTCTCTTGTTTCATTTCATTATTATTATATATATATTTTTTATTGTATTACACGTTCGAAATAAATCAAATCAAATGTGTCTTTGAAGAGGTGCTAGATTACTCAAAAACAACTGTTAGTGTGTTTATGCACCAGGCTGCAAAAGATAAACATGCAATTTGACGAGAGGCATTTCAGTGCAGAATACATTTGTATTTATTGGGCACAATTTCCACACTGTGGATTGTTCACTGGGGTGAGGCGGGGTCTGCTGTTCCCTCAACCACCAGAAAACAGCTCCAGCTGCAGTACCCCGGGAAGCCCTCTTCTGAGTAAAAACCCTGTAATATTCCTCGCCGTCCACTTCCCCGGTAGCCTGTGCCAACGTCCTTATACAGGTTGTCACACTGAAAGCCCCTGGAAATTTGGTAGGCCTTCCTAAATTCCTGTTTGTGTCCCTCTGTGAAGATATTCCAGTTGACGACACCTGAAGTAGAATGTCATAAGAAAATTACAATTCAGACAGAAAAAGAACAAAACCTTCCTTAATTTAGCTGACCTTACTCTTAGTCAATCAACTTCATAATATTCTAACCTACAGAATAGGCCGACATAATAACTGACTAAAACACCTCATGCAATATTACAAAACATGTCAAAATGATGAGACTGTCTGATAAACAGTAAACAGGCAGTCAGCACAGTTAAGATTATTTACAATGAATTCAAATAGTAATACAATGACTATTAAAGAAGCATTTACACTGAAGACAGAACTTAGGCTACTGCTGATTTAATGTAGCGGACAGACAGATCATATTGACATGCTTTTGTCATCCTCTGAAGTTTAATTAATTAGCTGACTATAATTAATGATCAGGGTTGGGAAGTTTACTTTTTTTAAATGTAGTAGGTTACAGATGACTAATTACCCTGTTAAAAATGTAATAAGTAATGTAACTGACTATGCAACTATTTGTATTGATATTCTAATGTTAATTATGGTTATTTTATGTTTTTTGTGAGTCACTTTGGATAAAAGCCTCTGCTAAATAACATAACCATAATATACGGTTTCATTAAACAAATAAACAAAAAGGCTAACAGTTGGTTTTGCAGTGAGTCATCATAGGCTAACAGATGACATTTACCACGTGTTGCTTGTATTGCTGTCCAATTGAATACACCAGAATAGTTGTTAACTTTAAACAAACAACATGATTCACATTACTCACACTCTTACTGTAATTAGTGATTAAATCAACAATTAATGTAGGACACCTAGTTGGGCTTGCCAAAATCACGCTACAGTTTCATTAAACAAATAATCAAATATGCTAACGAAGCTAATGCTTTTGCTAATAATGCTTTTGCCGAAAGCTATAGCTAACGAATAATTGTTTTTAGTGCCTTTAATACTGTTAGAAGCTATCATAAGCTAACAGATGTTTGTTTGTATTGCCTTAAGACTATCATAGTTAATGTTAGCTAATCACACTTCATTTAAAGACACCGGAATTGTTATTAATGTTAAACAAACAAAACTTTAAAAGCACTTCACACTACTCACACTCTCTGCGTTGTCGTTCATATTCATGTCTCCTGCTCACTAGGTGGCGATGTTGCAAAACAACTAGGGTCCTGGGAGTGTGGTCCCAGGAGTGCGGTCCTGAGACTGCAGCCTCCGACGCTGCAGCTTCATACTACTCTTCAAAAGTGCTGATTCTGTGTCTGTAGCTTTAAATGCTAATGAGCGGCTGCTGGCCACGCCCCTCTGAGAAGTGATTGGTTTGAACAAACACAATGGTGCTCTAGGAGGAGATTCAGGTGACAAGGTGGGGGGGGGGGGGTGTTACCTTGGTTGGTTATTGGCTAATGGTTGTACAACCCAAAAAACCATTATGACATCACAAAGTGGCCAAAATGTGATCAGCTCATTTTCAGACAGGTTTTTATATAAAAGGATCAGGACAAAAAGAGAGGGAATCCATTTTCCTGAAACTTTCAGAGTCTCTTAACACAGAAGAGAGACATGTTTATGTATTAAAGACAGGAAAAAGTGGATTTTGCATAAAAGGTGACCTTTAAAGGGTCTTTTTAGTTATTTGGTTGATTGCTCCGTCTGCTGTACAGTGTATGGTGTTGTGAGGCCCTGAGACATAACTGTTATTCTGTGGCTACACAAATGACATGCTGCAACTATTTTTAATCTTTACAGATACTAAATCTCTTAAGTTACAGTAAACTCCCCTCTTATTTTTCAGGACGCAGCAGAAGCAGACTGTCAACCGTGTGGTCGAGTTACAAACATCCTGAGTCACAAAGAGAGCAGGAAGACGTTCAGTTCACTTTTACTGAAAGAAAATGCTGTATTGATTTGCCTTATATGTTCCACATTAAGAAGGAGTGACTTACAGGATGCAGTGAGAGGTGTGATGAAAATAAAAATAGGATATTAGCAGAGAGACTAAGGAGGTGACTCATGAGACTCATGAGGTGGCATCTAGCAGATACAAAAGCCTGGTGTGTGTGTCTCCACTTCCTTTTGTCTCGCAAGACTAAATACTGTAGTACATTTGTTGGACACCTTACATTACTTCCTGAATCAACATTTTGGTAAGACAATAATTTCAATGCTTTCTACAACATTTTTCAGGTATTTTTGGTATAGGATAAATAATCTATTTCGTATTGATTTGCCTGAGTGTGCCACTTAAAATTCAGATTTCTGTAAATACTAAATTGTACTATGGTCTTTAAATATGACCCTAAACCTTAGTGAATAACATGTTGAAGTGTTTGTGCTCTTTGTCTCCATTAAATACACGCAAAAGTAAAAGGATCTTCATTAATTTGTCTCACGTTAAACGTAATCATGGCACATGATTTTTATTTTGTTCTTTTACCTTGTAATTGCTTAACTTGTATTTCTGTTGGATGCATGTGAACTGTGTTAAATAAAAACACATCAGGGGTTAAAAAATAATTCTGTGCAGAAGCGTTGAATGTTATGCATACAAATACATTCAGATATCTAACTTATTGTGTTGATGAAGATAAAATGTGATAATTAAAATGGTGAGCATCAACATTGTGGATAAAATAAAGTTAATATTTCCTGCTCTTGAAATATGTCATTATTTTTGTTCAGGACATGACTCATGTCCTTTGAAACCTAAACATCTGACTGTCAAGGGGTGAACTTTGTGGCATGAACTCAAATGCACAACTCAGACTCAGACTCAGGTGGTATCCAAAAATAAAGACTTTACTGGTTTAAGCACAGTAACAAAACAAGGAAACACAAAATCACTCTTTAGAGGAAAAACTATCAGCAGATATCAGGAGCATGAGAAACGGGATACGACCATGGAGCAGGCTTGAGCGTAGTCATGAATGAGAAACGAACTGGCACTGGACAGGTGGGGACTAACACAATATACACACAAGGTGAGGGGAACAGGTGGAAACAATCAGGGCGGGGTAAGCAATCACGAACACAGGAGACACATAGGGGCGGGGAGCATGGAGTTCTGAAACGAGAGGGAGAATTACTTTTCACAATAAGACAG